CAAAGTCAGGAACATGACTGATGGTCACATACTTTACAGAGAGGCTGAAGTGTGAGCGCATAGGTGAGATAGAGGCAAGCAGAAAAAATGGTGAGAGTGTGCTGTGCCTGACTCTGGTCCTCCTGAGACATCATTCTCCTCCATTTTCATCTGTGGGGGTTGTACATGATGTCAACGCGAGCTGTGAACCTCTAGGCAGATGTTTGGGATTACTATCAAAGGGAATAACGGAGGAGCCAAGTAGTATGGACCCACCATGTGTGTCATGTTTCCCTCCCTTGAATTGCCACTTCATTAACATCCCACCTTTCAGGAATTTCTACTAGTATCCATAATAGTCAGGGTAACACACTAGCTGCTATAACAAGCAAACCCAAATCTCAGTAGCCTAACATAATGGAGATTTATTTCTCGCTCAAGGTAAAACCTTATGTGGTAGTCAGCTCTCCTTGGTGCCTCCCCTCCAAGAGGACCCAGCTGCTTCTACCTCAAATATGTGGCCTCTGAGATCACTGCTGAAGGGGAAAGTAAGAGCATGGACAACTGCACAGGACTTATAGCCATGTCTGGAAGTGTCCCTTGGATGTGACAATACTAGGAAGTGGCTAGTTGCCTTGATAATAGTCACTGAGGTGGGGCACTAATAGCCAGATAGCAGTGTGCTGAGACTTCAGGATTAGTATTTTAAAAGACAGCTAAGAATTCATTAATTAATGAGGACTTTCTAATAATTGAGACAAAACTGAGCTTCCTTTTTGTCAGCAAATGCCTCCTAGAAGCAAATTAGAGTGTGAAACATTCAGAACAGGGGGATGTTGGAATACTGAAGAGACCGTCCCATTTTCAGCCAATTTCAGGATTCCTCAAACAGGAGATCCTAAAAGCTCAGGTCCAAGTCACACTGTATGACATTTGTCCCTGGGAAGAGTCAAGTTAGGGAGTGAGCGTAGGTTCAAAGATGGCCTTGAAGGAAACAGAAAGTCCCTAAAGGAAGAGCTGCAGTCACAGTGGAGGGGACATGGGCAGAGGCACAGCCCATCAGGCTCACAGTTGTGGGGAAGGTATTAATGGGCCAACTTCACTGGTGTGTCTACAGCCCAGAGGCGTCCTTTGCTCTCACAGGCTGCCTCCCTGGGTCCTTGCCCAGTGGGGTTGGGCTCCCTGGTCCTTGCCCAGAGAGAAGTAGAGGAGTCAGAGCCCAGAGGTGGCGGTTGATTGGGGTAAAGGGCAGATCAGCTCTGACTTCAGGAATCTCAGCAGCTTATTTATGTACCAGAAATTAATTAATCTCCTTAAAATTCCCCCTGGCTATAAGTTAAATAAAGCAACCTTTTTATATCTGCAGTCATTCAGTTGACATTCATCAAGCACAAACCAACAATGTGCCAAGGTCTGTGACAGGTGCTGGGGTGAATACTCACTTAGTTCCTCCCAAAAGTTCCCAGGCTGGGACCCTATTTCAGGCTGCACTGAGTCATTTCATTAAACTGAAAGTGGGGGGAGGAACAGAACATAGGTACCGCCTCTAATTGCAACAGGAAAATAAAGCACTATTAATCACCGTGCTCAGAGAGGGAAAGCAAATTTCTCAAGGTCACACAACTGGGAAATGACAGAGACAAAATGCACAGTGAAAATAAGAGAACTGAACTTTCGGAAACACTTTTCATTTCAAACTTTATGCTATGTCAGACACATCTTCCTGCTGTGTGTCTACTCACTGCTCATTTTGCCGCATTTTGTTTTGGGTTTCCGGAGTTATTTACAACACCCCCTCCAGCCCATATTTACTCCAGCACACAGGGCTGTCATTTGAAACTTGCTCTCCTTCTGACAGAATGTCATGAAGGCTAACAACATCATGTCTTCAAATGCTTTGATCATATAGAAGATAAACTCAAGCAGAAGTTCATATTGTTATAGTGATTATAATGATTATCATTTATACTATACAACATAATGATAAGAACATGTTGCATTTATAATGCGTAATTAGAGCCATTTTATCATTATTTTCTTCCTAGGCTTAATGATCATGATCATCATTATTAATAATGAACATAACCACAGGAAGACAATGAAAACAGTGATGACAAACAGCTCAGTGCCAGCTTGGTGTTCTGTAGGGAAGATCACTCCTTCCAATCATCTCTTGCTGGTCAGAATGACTTTGTCAGTTGTGAAGTGATAGCTTTAATTGTAAATGACAAGTGGCATCACATCACAGAGAAGAAAACACGGTCAGGCCACCAACACATCACTGGGACAGTGCCCGCCCCCCGCCCCCTACAGGCACAATTGATACACAAATATTTACATAGCCATAACTACAAGTACAGCCTCCAAGCAGGCACCATAATGTATCCATTCATTAAAAAAAAAAAAAGCTTTGCAGTAGGAAGACCTGGGCCTAAGATCCCTGCTCCCCCATTGGTCTGGTTACTGGGACCACCTAGGTGCCATTCTACTTTTATTCAGACTTGTGAGAAGACCCAGCGTATCTTAGGTGTCATATAGGAGAGATACTTTAGGTTTCAAACAACAGATGGCTAATGTATGCTCATATATATAGGGCCAGGAAAAATATTAGTTAAGTCTTGGGCACATTCACTGAGTCACAACTGAATTCCACAAAGGGAATTTACAAGTCATCCAGAAGAGACCAGGGTGGTGTTTCTTTTGCTGGCAAATGCTACATAAATTGTCCAATTTGAGCAACACTAAGGTCATGGAACTACAGCTGATGAACTTTGCAGCACTTAAGACTTATTGAAGAACCAAAAGTGACCATCCCCTCTACTCCTGCCCCACTTTAGCAGCTCGAAACCCTTCTCTCCCTCTTTGCTAAACAAACAAGTCACTCTGTACATCCTACTAAAGAGGTAGAACAGGTGTGAAAATTACCATCCTGTAACTCTCCAACAACATGTCTACCCATGTAGCAAGCTATAGAGAAGAACAGTAAAACACTCTATGAGAGGATGGAGAATCAGGCGGTGGGGAGAAAGAAAAAGGCAGCCATGCCCAGTGAGACGAGAAGCATCAACGCAAACACACAGTGAGACGTTGTTCCTGAACACAAACCATCAACCTTACAAATGCTGGAGGCACACAAACAGAAGTACCTTCGAAATTCATTTATTCATTCAACAAGTACTGGACCATTCGCATAAAGCAACAGGCCAGACACACAAGATCAGCCCCCAAGAAACTCACAGCCTGGAGAAGACTGGCAATAAATCAACACGTTATAAATTGTAACAAGTGTTCAGAGAAAAGAGACTGAAACCCAACCCTGTAGAAAAACAAGCAACCTAAGTATTGGGGGTTTAACTGGTACAGACCCACTGTGCCTTAGTGATGGATATCAAACCTCAATACTCTGAGTTCTGGGTGTCCTGTTTACAAATAACAAATCTTTTAAATACAATTTTTTAAGTAAATACCGGGTGATGTTCAACAAATGAAACCAACAATAGTATCAGCCACAGGGAGCACCAAGCTGACCCCAGTGCCTTAGATTTGGTTGTGAACTGGTTTATCAGCACTGACTCTTAGGGCAGAACTGGTTCCTGGAAATAAGAAGCTGCCATTTCTCCCTTTCACTCAAGAATGTTTTTGTGCCTATGAAAAGGCCGAACACTGTGCCATAGCAGCAGTCTCATAGAATTTCAGCACCCACTCCCCAAATTAACCCCAGAGTTTTGTTGACGATGCTGATGGAACACCAGGTAGAGTCCACACTGGGACGTAGATAAATAATCCCAGGCTTCAGGAGGTGGGAAAAATCATTGCTCTACTATGCCATCAATTTGCCCTTCATCCCACACACGATCTACCTTATATGAGTATCCGAGAACTCTTATATCCCTTCTCTTTCTCAATTTCATTCCTACCCTCTAGCTCTTTGTCCTCAGCCTGGGTTCTTGGGTCCACTTAATAAGCCACCAACAAGCTTCATAAGCAAAGGAAAAATAAAATCTTTTGTGAACAAGCAAGCACTCAGAGATTTCATCACCACCAGGCCTGCTTTATAAGAGCTTCTGAAAGAACCACTACAAATAGAAAGGAACAACCAGTATCAGCCTTTCTAAAAAATGCCAAAAAATAAAGAACATCAACATAATTAAGAAATTGCATCAACTAATGGGCAAAACAGCCAGCTAACATTAAATGACAGTATCAA